TTAGACAGATTAAAGTCTTGTGCAGGTCCTTTATGATCACCTGAAAACTAGTCAGTGTGAGTTCACTTTTGTAGCACGATGATATTTGCAGTTAACTAAATGTTTCTTCACATCATCCCATGGGAAGAAGGCCACTTTGGAAAGGTTGTGCTTTGAGCATCTCCATGTTGAGCTTTGCATAGCGGTAAAAAAATGATTTCAACACTTGTTCACAAGATGCAACATATTATGGGAGGACACATATCAACACGGTCTGAGGTGAGCAAATCGTGCGCCGCTACTAAGCCTACTTTCCCTCACCTAGTCGGTGTGAGTCATAACTTGTGCAAGGCTGATGTCTTTCAAGTAGTTTAAGCCTACTGCTAAACTATTAAAGGTCGCTGTTACAGCGCTTCCAGCAACATCAATAGTGAGTAAAATTCATCTGCGCATTCCAGTTTAATACGGACACATTTTGCTCTATGCACTGCGGTTGCCGTGGCCCTCTTCAATTTGCCCGAGTGCATAGGCGAATGGATGTCTTCAAACCTTGCCACATTTTCCCCACTGGTATACCGGTGTTGGACACTCGTGCAATACACTTTATCTAGCCGTAGATGTCTGACAGGGACCTATCGGAAACGTGTTTGTCAGATGTCTCCTGAATAACCTTAAACAAGTGGAAACCGAAGCTACCACAAGATTGTGTTTAACGGACCCCAGAAGTTTAAGAGAGGCAAACGCACCAGAAGATTGGTAAGGATCATTGGTGAGCAGAGGAGGAAGGCGATGAACATGATAAGGGTGACTTCAGGAAAGTGCAGAGTGATCTGGTAGTCGTCTGTCAGTGGGTTGATAATTGTATCAACGAAATTGAAGTCGCCCAGTGACATGGAGAGGACATTAAGAAGTGTCAGTTGTGGGTTTTGGAAGGCTTGCATAGTGGTGCTCATAGGCTGTGCAGTTGTAAAATTCGACTTGAACAGGTGAAGGAAGCGATAGGTAGGAAAACAGTCCTTTAACGCCGTCTGTTCTGCCTGCGGCAGACTGAAGAATTCCTGCAATTAAATTCAAAATATTGGCTGAGAGGTTTGTATTTTAGGCACATTATATTGAAACAGACATGCAGTCTAGCCAAAACCGTGTTGCAGCAGTTCACAGGCTTACGTGGTGTCAACTCAGTTCTATAAATATTTATATTCACATACGTAAAATGCATTTACCGAAAAAGACAAGGGAGGCTGGAATGACCATTTCTGACTTATTAGCCATCATCAGCCAGTTGAACCCAACTCTAAGTGGGGTCACCCGGGGTTTGAACATGAGACCGTGTTAATTAGGAGTTCAACGCTCTAACCACTTCGTCAGGGGCTCGTTACCTTGCCGGTTTCGATCACGAAGATACATAGTGGCAGATAGGCGCTCACCGAGCGACTACAGGACTCAATCGCCCCGTTCTGCATTCGGGCTCATTCTCGAGCCCCGCTAGCAGCCGAACAGCGGGACGAGTGAGTCCTGTAATCGGTCGGTGAGCGCTTACCTGCCACTATATATGTATACTTTGAACAACTGAAGTATGCATATACTGTGTGCTTAGAAGTGGCCATGCGCGAGATGCATCGGACCAAAGCAGGGCTAAATCAGGGTGCAGCACGCGGTATTCCGAATGTATACCCATAACACATATCAAGCCCACGGATGTGGTGATATGTCTAGACACAGACTCACGCTGGGCTGGCTACCTGCGTCCAACCTCCAGCTTATATTTTGGACTGGCTCTGACAGCCGAATGGTGACCGACAGAGGAAAGAAGAAGTTTGGCTGACTCTGGGAGCTCTGTGTCTGTGGCACTTAGCGCACGTTCGTCCTTATAAACAATCTCACGTACTTCAAAACTAGCACTGTACACTAAAAGCCGTAAACTGTAGGTCTGCTAGCTAATGGATAACTCGGTTCTCCACTCGAAACGAAGAGTCATCCCGCAATGGATCCCTCTGAGTGCGATTACTGTACCACTCGCATGCAGTTGGGATCGGAAGAACCCCATATTTCTGGTCTATTTTACGTGAACCAGACGTTTGTGGCACGCGCGGAGGAGATGATTGCCTTGTTATTCATAGCTCCTGACCCCTCGCCGGTCTTCTTGCTTGGTCTTCATTAATTGACACCGTGTCCAAGTCGATGTGGAGAGTG